ATAGAGAAGAGAAAAGGAACAGCATATAGACTGTTTGAAAATCATGGCATAGGAGCAGTATTCCATTTAAAATTAGGACACCTGGATTCAAAATTCTGGCTCAGTTATTTACTACACATATGATCATGGGTAAGTCACTTAAAACTTTCTGGCTTTGGTTTTCTCACCTGAAAAAAACCAAGGGAATTGGACTAGATCAGTGATGTAAAACTGAAAAAGAAACAGGAGCCACTAAACCACATATAATATGGTTTAATGTATGATACATATATTATGCAGGCCTCATATTGACTTCAAAAACCACATATTGCCACTATCTATGTTTTACTGTATTTTTAAAAAAAATATCTCCCAGTTACATTTTAATCTAGCTCAGGTCACATTGGGAATGTTGTAAGTTGCATGTGGTCTGTAGGGCATGTGTTTCACACCTCTGGATTAGATGATCTCAAAGGTTACATCCAGCTGTAAAGTAATGATCCTTTAAAAAATATTTTGGTACTTAACAGGCCAACTAAAATTTTCGTTTGGCAAACTTGTATTAAAGAGATTCCTCTAAATCAAAAGGATAATTTGATAGCCCAAATTATTTAATATAGATTAGTAGGGGATCATCAAAGTATGTGCTACACCTCACTTTGGAAGAAATGAAAAATACATCATGTATGTTAGCATTTTTAATTAGCCCAGAGAAGCCTGGTTTGGGCTACTAACATGGGAAATATTACAAAAGGACCTTCCCTGGACTATTAATTTCAATCACTTTATTATTTCATCATTTTTAGGATACTGGCAAGCTTGATTTCCCTATGTAAGTATAATAAATTTCGAATCCGATATCTTAAGTACTACATAAATGTCAATACCCTATATTGTAGCAAATGGTTAATTTTTACATTCTTGTTTTGAAAATAAATTATAATGGGAGAAATATAGGTAAAATCCTACAATAGCTTCAACTGAAAAATAGGATTCATCCTTAATATGCACATGTACTGTTTCCAGTTGCCTTCTCTCTTTGCACCAAAGCATTTGTTCACAATAACAGCTGCCCATGTGTCTCTTCTTAGAGCCTCTTGCAACAAATCATACTGCGAACAAAGTGTCCATAGAGACAGAGGACAGTGATGGACTGCTGGGAGGCTATATATTCTAAGACCTCAACACAGGAAAGAAGGAGAATTGATTTGGCATATCAACTTTTATTCTAAATGAAGCCCCATAAATATAAAACTATATAAAACTAGGGCTTTGTATTGTTCTACAACATTTGTTTTCCAGAAGAAAAATATTTCAAAATGCCTACTATGCCACAAAATATAGTGCCCTATATTCTAATTTAATAGATAATTTTACAAATGCCTGGATAAAGTGGAAAGAGAGGGCTATATCATGTTTTTGACATGGCAATGATTCGATTAGGATGCTGAGCCATCTTAGGGTATGCATTATTAACTAGGCATTAATAAAATTAATAAAGTACATATGGCAGTGTTTCAGATTATGTGACTCAAGCAATGGGTAATATCAAACTGAAATCATATGAATAATTATTTTGGAATGTGTCCTACTATATAGTTGTGCCAAAGAAATATTTCTTCTTTCAGCTTGCGAATTGTTTTCAGAATACAGATGTCTTGGCATTAACTAATAATTACATTTTTTTGGTCAAGGATATTTTTATTAAAGTTAATGGTGTGAGAGATTCCAAAAGGAGGTAAAGAACCTTTCACTTTATGAAGTTGTTATAATGGCACTGTATTGGTAGATGGGGTGGGAATATATGTAAATATAATTAGGTTTAGATTAATATACTTCATATTAAGTATTATAAGAATGCTATCTGAAGAAGAATCTCATTGTCATGTTCTCCATAAAAACAAAGATTGTATGACTTCATGAGTCCTGTTAAAGATTGTCAAATTACTTAAAAATTTCTCCATCTGCTCCCAATGAAGCACCAAGGCAAAGGGGTTTCTGCCATGTGTTCAGACCATAATAATCTGGGTATAACAGAATGGGAAGTGCTATCATTTTTTTTCCCTTTCTCATTTGCTTTAGTGGTTCTTAATGAAAACTGTAGCTAGGCAAGCTCAAGGAACCACAGTGGAACTGGCTTTTCTTCCTCAACTCTCAACTGAGAGCCAATGTTTGGTGATGGCTTTTTGCTGCCCTGCATTGAATGGCATTACCTCATTTTGGCCACATACAGCTATTCTAACAGGAAGCAGCAACCAAAGTGTCCCATTCCATCTACTTGGTTTTCATGGGTTGGTGCTGTTCTTGATGTTGACAGCTGTCTTAATAGGCCTGGGCCACCTGCCACATGGTAAATACTGTACTCCAGGGTGAAAGCATACATCTGCCCGTGGGCAGACTTTTATGACAAAAAGACTTGTGTTTTGGAGCCACACTTGACTCTTGCTCACTTTATTTGTGGTGACAACAATGTGTTGTCACATATGTGATATGTGATATTATGTTATTTTATTCTCACTCTAAATTAGGAAAAGTACGGCAAAATACTGAAAGCACTAGATTGGGAGAGAGGAAACAGGTTCTACTTCTGGCTCTGCTTCTAAGTAGCTATATTTACTTTAGTTTCTTCGGATACTAGTTTTCTTTATAAAGGACTCATTAGAGATTTTTTAAAAATCTTTTTTTCTGAGGAAGAAAAGTCTTTTATTTTGCTGAAGTCTTAGAGTCTTTGGGATGAGCAGGGAGAAAGTTAAGATGCTCTAAGAAAAGATTCTGAGTGGTATTATAGCTGAATGAAAATATGGTAAAAGGATACTGTTACAGGCTCCATTTGCCTCCCTTTTAGAAATCCTGGCAAACCTTGAAGTGGGACACATGGTAGTAGGAACCAGTTTGGAGACCAACCAAGTAAGGTACTTCATAGGAGCCAAGTGTGACACCTGTGTGTCAGTTGTAACACTGCAGTCAGTCCAGATAGGCTTGTGTGTTGCCTTTTTAAAATTCACAATATGACAGTGTGTCTCTGTATTAATTATCCAACAAGGGAGTGCAATGTCCCAGTAGCTTGCTAGATAGGAGTCTCCAAACTACCAGCCAAGTAGCTACTTCAGTTCCTCTCTGACGCATACTAAGGGCAATCTTTCTAAAAGGTGAAATATACCCACTGGCCACCAAGACCCATTGGATGTTGCTTAGCCTGCAACAGCCTAGATTGCTTTCTTGCTACTGCCAACCCTGTTTCTTCAAGTTGCAGTGCTGAGCAGTTCAAATCCATTCTGGACAGATCTGGGTTATCTATGGGTGTGAAATGGAATATTACTTGTATCTACCCTGAATCCAGATGCTCCTCCCCATCATCATGCTCCTATCCCTCATCACTTTCATTACAGAATACAGTTACTCAACAAGCTGTAATCATATATTTTAGTCAACAGAGCAAAAAACAAAAGAGAACCCCCAAAACCTCCTCCTGCTTGCCCTCTTTGTTCTCCATATGTGCTCTGGGAAATTCCTAAAACAGACATGCCCACATATAACAGAAAAGTAACATAAGGAAAATAGATCTTTAGTATATATTTCTGCATCAGTACTGGATCATGAATATTTGGGAAAATTAGGGGAAGAATGGTAAAAGGAGAAGTCTTCCAGTTCACCGGCCTGACTGGAAGCATACAGGCTGCAAGGTTCCCTGGTTCTTACAACATTTCTCAAGATGTCAGTCAGTTGACTAAAGTAAGATACAAAGAGCATACAACAAAGACTTGGAAGTACCAGGAGGGCCTGAGGTAGAGCTGCAGTCACACCTGAGACTGTAAGGAGGCCTGTGCTGATGGCTGCTATACTCATGTAGGCCCTAGACAGGAGTGACAAACCCATTAAACTTGGAGTTTCTTGAGAGCAAGAACCACTTTTTGCCTTTCTTTGTTACCCCAGCACTTGGCACAATGCCTACCTAGCACATGGTATTTAATACATGCTAGTTGTCTGACTGATGGCACAGGGACTGGGAGTGAGACCTAAGCTGGAAGCTGCCAGGTGACATTCTTCTACCTCAGCAAAGTAGCATATACCAGACAGGGGGCCACAGCTGAGGAGCAACTGACACAGCAGAGAAGCAACACAACACTAGAACTGAACTGAGGAGCTACAATTCACGCAGCATGTCATCAAAGAGCAAAAATGGACCTTGCTTTTTTTTGTGGTACTGTGGAACATGTGGACTGCATAAATTTGGGAGTGGGGAAGGTGACCTTGAGTGTAGTATCTTATATTGGTAACTCTGTGAGAAGACATGGAGATTCTTTTTTGGTGCTTTCTGTGGGGTTTTTTTGGTTTTTTAGTGACACAACTGGGGTTAAGTGAATTGCTCAGTCACACAGCTAGGAAGTATTACGCATCTGAGGCCGCATTTGAACTCAGGTCCTCCTGACTCCAGAGCCCGTGCCTTATCCACTTCACCACCTAGCTGCCCTTTTTCTGTTTTTGTTTGTTTGTTTAAAACCCTTAAGGGCACCCCTTTTTGAATGATCCAGAAGTTCGAAGGATTTCCATGGATGGGTGGGGGAAATGAGTCAGAGAAGTGGCCCTAAAACTGCATTTAAGTCCTTCTGTAAGGAGAAATGATTTGGCTAGGCTTACTCATGTTTTGTTTTGGCTTGGGTTGGTTTTTAATCAGCACTTTTAAAAAAAATTAAGATCACTCATCAAAGCAATTTGGATTCCTTTCTCCTTTCCTGCAGGACCTCTCCTTAGCACTTTCAGAAAGCTTTTCCACTTTGTTCATACATAAACTGCTGCAACTTTGTATCTCCCCAGTACTTAGCACAAAGTTTTGGTCACACTGAGCTTTTTCTTTAAAATTTAATTTAAAACATTTTTTCCAGCAGGCTCTTAATAAATTTTTGATTTGCACTGCATTTGTTGTATGTGTAATATATATATTATATATATATGTACATACACAGACATTATACATACATACGTGTGTATACACACACACACATACACACACGTTTCCCTAGAGTTTTCTATCTCTGTCTCTCCCTTCCTCCCTTGTTATGTATATAGATATAGATACATATATAAAAGTTCCCCTGCACCAACCGAGGAAAACTCGCCAGCGTGAGTGGACCCGGGTGTTCTACCTCCCCGAGTAATAAAGAAGCTTGACCTTGGGAGGGTGGCCGGAGATTAAGTAGAGATCTTCCCCCCACCCCGACTCCTCCGAGACCTGGTGGGGGTGGGTAGGAGGGCAGAGCCCCTACAGCTAATCAAAAGTTACCAGCGGTGGGAAGAGGCGGGTTACGGACAGAGCAGGGAAGGCTCCGGGCAGCCCGGGTTCCCCGCTCCCGGGGCTGGGGGCGGCGCTGGCGCTTCTGGCTCCTCCCGGGCCGGGGCGGGCAGGGGTGCGGCAGCTGCTCGGCTGGCTCGCCCCGCACTCGAGCTCCCGTCCCGGCGCTAGCCGCTCTCTCCACCAGGCTAGTCCCGTGCTAATGGATTAAAAGTCGCACCGGGAGCTCAGAGGGAGCCCGCGGAGTCCCGGTCCGCCCCGTCTCACTCGGGTCCGCGAGCAGCGCCGCGCGCGCCGGCCGCTCTCCCTGTCCTCTCTCCCGCTGCTCGGGGGCAGGCGGCCGCTTCTCCCCCCGCGGAGATGTCCAGCGGCGGCCGGAGGAGGGCCGGCTCCTCCTGGCCCAGCTTCTCCCGGTTCTTCACTCCTCGAAGCCCGTCCCGGGACGAAGAGGAGAAGCCCGCGGTGAGCCAGCCCTTGGCTGGAGGCGCTCCCAGGTAGGCGGGGGCTGCCGGGGCCAGGGGGCTGGGGCTGTTGGGGGAACTTGACAGGGCGGCTCTGGCCCGGGCTCTCCCCGCCCAGACGCGGCGCCGGCTCGCCTGCAAAGTTAGCTGCTGTTTGGGCTCCCACCCCTCGGCGGCGGAGGCCTCCCCCGCCGGCCCGTCCGGGCCCCGCCACTGGCGCGGCGGTCTGGAGACGGTTCCTGCCCGACCTTCTGGCCGTTAAGCCCCCTCCCCCAACTCCCGGGGGCTTTCTGCACTTGGACGCCGTCTCCCCATGTTGACGTCACAGCCCCCCCGACACACACACCCACACACACACACACACACACACACACCACACACACTCACACTTCTCCATGTTCCCTAGTCCAAGTCACTTCCCCCGCCACCCCTGCAGGTTCTAATGGAAAACGGTTGTCAGTTGAAGCCTAGAAAGTGTCCCGAGCTGGGGGGGGGGGGGTTGGGCGAGAGGCAGAAGGACTCGGGCGGGGCAGCCTGGGCTATGCTTTCAGACGGTGGCCCCCGACGGAGGCCAGGGAGCGTCCTGTTATTTCCATTGTCCAGATCCTCATGACTCAAACAAGTACGAGACTGAATGTTGAAGACTTCGCCCAAACTCGAACTCTAGGGAGACAACCACCAGTGTCCAGATTCTGAAGCGTTAGCTATGTTCCTGATCATACTTTTAGGCAGTCAATTGCCTAGAGCTCCCCAAAAATACAGAAACCACGACTCTTGGCCTGTCGCTCTCTCTGTTCACTCAGCAGTCCCCCCTCCCACCTGCTGTAAAATGAAACAGTAAAGTTGGTGGTTATCTGTCATTAAAATATACTTCCTTAAATCCATTCCATCCCCCAGGAAGCTTTTAAAGAATCTAAAACCAATCACTCCCATCACTTTTAAACTTGATTATAAGGGAAGCTGCCCTCTCTATCTTCTCCTCCACTGCAATCATAAGCTAGAAAATTATTGGAAAAATTCTATACATAATCTAAGGAGAATACGTAGTTTAGGAGGCTTTATTTGGCACAGAGTAGAGTAGTGATTAGTGAGAGAGAACTTCTATTGACTTGTGCCTGGTTTCTTGGTTTTCATTTTTTTGGTTACAGTGTCCCTATTAGTAAAATAGGTAAAATTGTACTTCGCCCAGTTGCAGGGTCAATGAAAAAAAAAAGATTGAGCTCCTGAAAGTATCATTCTATTGTTACAGGTTAGTTAAGGTATTTTTGTCATTGCCGGTTGGTGAGAGCTAAGAGGTTCGGCTTTAACTGGTTGTTCACATTTTTAAAAGCCTAACTCAAACTTCTGAAGTAGTTTGCTTATATGACCATGCATTCCTCTTTACTTTCTTTTTATATAGTGCTGTTATACTATCACTAGACTGTTCATCAGTTAAAACTGTTGTTACTGTATAAAGAAAGGCATGATAGTTAAAGTTCTTTAGAATGATCCTTGTCATCCCGGCGAAAGTGTAAAACTAATGTTATTTAGGAGTGTTCAAAAAGACTGTCACTTGAAAGTCCTATGGAAGTATGTGAATCCAGGTTTAGCCTGTATTGCTAGCCTGGTAATTTTATTCAGAGATAGAGGTAAAAGGTTCATACTTTAAAAGGAGTAAGTGAACTGCAAAGAAATGTCTTCCTAGCAGATTTGAGGGACTTCTTGGCTTTTGAGGGACTTCTCAGATCAACTCCCTTCTTGCATGAGCAATGTCTCGTGCCCTATCTTCCTGCCACTACCTCTTTTCTCTTCCTCTTTATCTACAGGAAAAGGCTGGGATTTTTTTTTAATAATGCTTATTTTAATTACATATTGTATGACTGTTCATTTTGTTTTCATCTTAAATAAGAAGCTAACAGATTTTCACTACCACTTTTCAAAGGCAGTTGGGGCAGATGGGAAAGACATTTAAAAAAAATTAATTAACCACAAGTTTCCCTTTCAGTAGAGAACTGAAGGGCCAGTCATCATTAAGAGTTTAATGAAACAAATGGGGTCCCTTAGTACTGTATGTAATGATAATACAATTTAGTGATTTTAACAAGATGTACAGGGGTTGGCAATTTTTGTTATGATTTACTCTTTTTTCAGGATGAAAGGAACATCTTTGAGTGAAGGTCTAAATCCTTACTAAAGAGTTTTAGTCAATAAATGGCTTTGGTTTTCCACAGACTTAATATTTAGGGAACATTTTCAAAATGAAAATGTTGTGTTCAGTAGATAATGCCTTGTATATTAGAGACAACTTCAATGGTAAATCTGGGTCTTCCCTTGTGCTAAGGTGGAACAGGACTACCTAAGTATCAGATTCAGTAATAGCCACCTAGATGTGTGTTGGGTGGGGTTGGGGTTGTTGAGTGGTGTGGGGACAAAAGTAGAGAAACTGTTTTATGCTTCTCAATGATTATATTTGGAACTGAAGTAGGGAGAGTAGGATTGATCAGCTAATGCAACTGAGGAAAATTCACTTACTTTTCCTGTTAGGGTATCTTCAATTCATACACTTAGAAGTGTCATGCACTTGAGATTCTGGTAGCCCCCAGAGAGATGTATTATTTTAGGAATTGGCCTCTTGGTTTTTTGCCTCAGACTTTATAACCAAGGAAAAGAATTAATACCATATTCCGAAAGAAAACTACCATCACATATTGAATATTTCTTTTTTTTTCTTGTATTCCCATTACTTATGGACAGCCAAGTGAAATGTTACAAAAGACAATCTAAATTGAGTAACATAATATGTTGGACTTTCAAAATATCTCTAGGTGATGGCTTTGATACCTTTTCTTAGCATGGGGTAGATAGTTGGGTTAGGTAATGAAGTTGATATACCTCCAATTTTTCTTCCACCTCACTAAGTCACTTAGACAAGTAGAAGAATCAGAAGAACTGTGTGATGCGTCATGACCCTACTTCTCCTTGTCTTTTGCTCCTGTTTCTACAGATTTGAAGAATCCTAGACTAATATAGGAAAGTATTTGCTTTTAGGATTTCATATTCCAAAAGATTTTTGAAATCTTGGTGATGTTGTAGCTATCATGAAATGCATTTATTTTCATTGCAGCAGAAAGATAATTTCATTTTCTTTTTGTTAGTAAATGAAACATTTCCATTTATTTGGTAGCTGTGTGTGGTTGAGTATCTTAAAATATCAGGACAATAAATTATTAATATTTGAATCTGGGGCAGATAAGTGAGAAGTGGATAGAGCACCAGCCCTGGGGTTAGGAGGACCTTGAGTTCAAATCTGGCCTCAGACACTTGACATTTACTAGCTGTGTGACTCTGGGCAAGTCGCTTAACCCCAGTTGCCTCACCAAAAAGCAGAAAAAAAAAGAAAGAAAGAAAGAAAAAGGGGGAAAAAAATGAATACTGGGCCTGTGTTGGTCACTGTAGTCCAGGGGTTCTTAATCTGTTGTCTATGAACTTGTTTTTGAAAGAAATATTTTGATAACTACATTTTAGTACAATTGGGTTCCTTTATAACCTTATTTATTTTATTTTATGCATTTGAAAACATTGTTCTGAATAGGAGTCCAAAGTCTTCACTAGACTGCTAAAGGGGGTCCATGACAATAAATTAGATAAGAACCCCTGATCTCAACTTAGAATAATTAGACCTGGTCTCTGGTGTTACAAGTCAGCATTAGACTCCTGCTTCTGCTGTTTTATGTGATTTTGGACAGGTCACCTAAACACTTTGGGCCTCAGTTTTTTCATCTGTTTAATGAAGAGGATTGAGTAGTTGATCTCTAAGTTCCCTTTCAGTTCTAAATACCATGAACTACTTCTAAGCTGTACATGAAGAGAGCTACCCAATGGAGAAGACCCTCAGAAGGAGTTAGTATTAAAAATGGTTTTGAATGAAGTTTCATACTTGGTATGCCTTTAGTAAGTAGCAAAATACCTTTATAAACTGTGGAGTTTTAATTCAGTTTCCTGAATTTAGAAGACATCTTAAATTGGCATATAATAGTGCTTCATATATTGTAATAAATAGTCCACGATTGTGACAACATTTAAAGTTTGGGTAAGTTGGATTTATTATGTAATGTGACATTTTAATAAGTTTTAGGGGGGTATATTCGTTGGTATCTTTGTTTCCTTAGGTTTTGATACTGCTGATTTTTGTGCTGGCGTGTTTTATGAATGAGATCAATAAGTTGACAGATTTTTTATGAAATAAAGAAATGTATTTTGTGCAGTAGCCCTTATTTTTATAATCCTTTCTCTTTTGACCTCTCTACCTTTTCCCAAAGTAAGTAAGAATATCACAGTAGTATGAAAACATAGTGTGAAAAGGCATGTAAAAGTTTATTAGTCATGGAAATAAGTCATTTGTGATGCACATCACAGTATTTGTATTTTTTTCCTTTAAAATATTTTGTTTTAATTTTAAACATTTTCTTTGTGATTGAAAAGCCATTGTGTTGAGATTGAACTTGAGGACCTATTAAGTTCCATATGTAAAGGTTCTGAATAGCCTTTAAAGAAAAAGAAAAGCAAGTATATGGGACTTTTCCTGTTAATGTTAATTTTGCTTCAAGAAATCTAATAAACACTTTACTCTCAAATGTCACCTCTGATCCCATGAATTATAATGGCTTGTCCTTTTTCTATAATTTGATTCAGTAGTTAGTATTTTATAGGCTAGTTCAGAAGAAATAGAATTTTCCAAAAGCTTAAGTATCACAAGGTCTGGATTCAAAGTCTGGTTTTGTTCTTTGCTGCTTGTGAGAACCTTCAGTAAGTCACTTAACTTTTCTGGGTCTTAGTTTCCTTAAATAAAATAATAAAGTTAGACTAGAAGATCTCCAAGGTACTTTCCAGATTAAAACCTTTGATCCTACTAATTTGCTTATTTTAACCAGATTTTTTTTTCTGTCTGGGTTTAAATACAACCTTTTAATGTAAATTTCTGTTAATTTAAAAATAAACACATTTCCTTTGCATGAACTTTTACCATATACAAACTATTTCAGTTAAATCGTTTT